TTCAACTTCAGATCCCAAAGAACTCAGCCTTGAGAATAACTAGGATTACAGGCATGTGCAATAGTTTAGTGCTTTTAACCAAGTTTTAGCTCAGGCAATCATTTAAGTGCTTTGAACCAATTCCTTAAGTCTATTTTCATTGTAGTGTAGACACATCTTTTTTTTTTGGCGGGGGTGGGGCCTGAACTCTGGGCCTGGGCGCTGTCCCTCAGCTCTTCAGCTCAAGGCTAGCACTCTACCACTTGAGCCACAGCACCACTTGCGTCTTTTTTCTTTTTGCTTATGTGGTGCTGAGGAATCAAACCCAGGGCCTCAGGCATGCAAGGCAAGTGCTCTACCACTGAGTCAACTTCCCAGCCCTAGACACATCATTTTTAAAGATGATCATTTAAAAGATAAAATGATTAATCTACAGTTTTAAAATATTTTAAATGGAAGACTACTGAGCTTCAACTACTTCTTTCTTTAATAATTATATGTCTTCAATATGTATAATTTCCATAATTAACCAGAGTTCTAATTCTAATTTGTGTGTGTGTGTGTGTGTGTGTGTGTGTGTGTGTTCTAGTACTTGGGCTTGAAAGCAGGTCTCTAGCTCAAACTTTTCCACTCATAAGTGGAACTCTAATACTGGAACCACATCTCCAGACCAGCTTTTTTTTTATTGGTAAACTGAAGATAAAAGTCTCTTGGATTTATCTGCCCTGGACAGTTCCAAACCATGATTCTCAGAAATCAGCCTCCTGAGTAGCTAGGGTTATAGGCATGAGCCACATAAATCAGTCCCTTTAATTTTTAGAAAGCCCTTCCCCAGGCCTTAGCCAGCTCTGCTCATCTTTCTCCAGGCAGATCTAAAGTCATGTCCTCAAGTCATAGAAATGTTAATTTTCTAAGAACATTTCTCAGTTGGCACTTATCTTTAGGAACTGTCTACATTGGTCCCGGCAGATAAAATCCTGTATCTGAATCTTAACTGTTGACTCAGCACTAGATGCATAACTGTTTTCTTCCCTAATTTACAAACTCCACTGCAGTTTGTCACTTTAACATAGTGACCCTGAAACTCAAAAAAAAAAAGCTCCAGATAAGGAAAGTCTTTCTTGTCCACTGTATACTCAACACACAAACAGTAGCTGGCTAACAGATTCTTGAGAATGGTTGGTAAGTGAGCAAATGGTTTTCCATTTCTTTTGCTTTAAAGAGCAATTAACAAATGTCTTGAAGGATGTCACAAGCAAATGTCTACCAGTGGAAGAGTTGAAACATATACTTTGTAAGGAATAAAGTAAGAACTACTTCTTCACAGGGAAGGAGACTGAGTCAAATAACTGATAACATTCTATTGAGCTCCTGGAATCTGTAACTTGATGGATGCTATATTTGGAGATTGGGTTCGCTACATAAAGGTGGATTTGATTCTCAGGACCTAGGCAGAGCAAAGATGGTATGCTGTTTAAAACAAAGATAATAGCTTCTTTGGAACACGAATGCAAAAGTACTAACTCATTCACAATATAGACACAGGCCTAGGAGAGAAAAGTCCTTGCTAATCATCAGGTATGTGTACTTCAGGTCTTCTGTGGGGAGGAGAAACAACCAGCTGGGGATGGAGATTAAAACTGGAAAAAAACAGTATCACATTGAGCTGAAGCTTTTGTTTCCCAATCGAGAAAAACTCTATGAAATATATTTGAATTTAGCCTTGAGATTTAAATGCTTGTAGCTGAATATAACCACTTCAGAAGATAGAAAATACAGCATTTGGCTGGCTGGGATGCAGCTCAGTGGTAAAGGGTTCAATGTGGGAGAGCAGGGGGAATGGACAACAAGAGCTCATGGGAAAAGACAAGATTAAAGGGATACCACCACCAAAATAAATAAATAAATAGCACTGACATAGAAGCATTTCTGCCCTTCAAATGTCGTTTGTTTACTTCAAATACAGTACCACACTAAGATGTGTAAAGTTGAGGGCAAGTTATTCTTTCTTTTTTTCTTTTTTCTTTTTGCTGTTCCTAGGTCTTGAACTCCAAGCCTGAGCTCAAGGAATGGACTCTACCACTTGAGCCACAGTGCCACATCTGGCTTTTTTCACAGTAGTTTATTGGAGCTAAGAGGCTCCCAGAGACTTTTCTGCTGGGCTAGCTTTGAACCATGATCTTCAGTATCTCAGCCTCCTCAGTAGCTAGGAGCAAGGATTACAGGCATGAGCTACCATTTCCCAGCTGAGGGCAAATTATTCTGATTGTATTTTTCTTCCATGTTGATAGAAAAAGTAATCTGTAGGAAAAGGAGATATACCATCTTTCCTATACCATCTTTAAAAAAAAATCAATTAAGTCTAAAGCATCACTAGGGCACTTCCATTCACATACAAATCAAGGGAGTGCTTCTTTCCCTCCCAAACCTTTTCTTTCCTGTGTTCAAATTACAGTCTCAGGGGAATTGGAGAGGCAGAGTTCAAGCTTTAAGGCCACAGTTGTAGATTGGAGCCATTTTGGCACTGACTGGGGTTGTTTTGCAGAGGTAATTTAAGAGAGGAATCCAACCAGTAAAGCTCAGTGGTGGTTCAACAAGTCCTTGGATAAGTGATCACATTTTCTGTAGTATATGAAAAGACTTCTCAACTTTATAGTCAGCTCCTGATCACTATACAACTCAGGAAGAATCTAATGGTTTTAAATTTTAAGTCATTTGATCTTAATTCTAGTGACAACAGTGAACATGAAGGGGAAAAAAAAAACCTCTTTCAGACACATACTTCAAAAAATCTCTATTATCTTAATGAGAGAAGTCTTACACTATTCTGAGGGAGCTAAGCTCACATATGGACAGCAGACCTGGAGTTGGATACGATTATGATCACACAACTAAATCTAAAATCCACATATTGTTCCTATTTAACTGACACATATTAACTTACTAATTTATAGAGAATGTGCAGCAAATTATTTCTTCCACCTCCCCCAGCCCTCAAGAATGCACCCACAATAGGTGTTACAGAAAAAGGCACCCCCTACACAGAACATTTGCATTCCCAGACAGTTTATCTAAAGCATATATTACTATTCTAGTTCTCTGACTCTTTGCCCTGATAATTACGGAGGGAAGGGAGAGATTTAACCAGATACGCTTGATCTCTATACGTGTCAGTTTCCTCACTAGAAAAATTAAAAGATTCTCTCAGAAACTATGCAAATTCCCTCGGTAAGAAGAGTCAAGGTTCAATAATTAACAAGAGCACAATTTGTGTGCAAGAGGAAACCAGAATTCTGTGAAGGAGAGGGTTTGGGGGGGGGGGCTTGAATTCGGGGCGTGGTCGTGCTTTTAAGTTTTTCTGCTCAAGGATGGTATTCCTACCACTTGAGCCACAGCTCTGCTTTTGGCATTTTGCAAGTTAACTGCTAACAAGAGTCTCACGGGGAGGTTAGCTTTGAATTAGTTAGGCTTATAGGAATGAGCCTCAGCCCCCCTGCCCCACCCTTCAACCCCACAAAACCAGAATTCTCTCATTAAACATAGTTTAAGAGCAGCACAGCTGCACTTCGCTATGACCATTGTCCATTTTCTGGCCGTGGAAAAAGTCTTTCAAACACTCAGGAAGCCAAGCACAAAAGCCAGGTAAGCCCTTGCAGAGAAGGGTCCCCAGAACTTCCAGCCGGGCTGGGGCTGCAAAGTGCAAAAGGTGAGCGAGCCTGGGCAGCGGTGAGGCGCGAAGAGGCCCTGGGTCTGAGGGCACAGCTTTTTGTAATCTGGAGTTTCAGAGGTTCCAGGATCTCTCTAAAACCTTTGTCTACCCCCCACAAAATCTCTCAGGCCACCACCACCTGCAGCAAAAAAGGAAAAGGAGGTGTGGGGTGGGGGTAGATAGGGTACCAGCTAAAGACCTCACCCGAGGCACCCCCCAGAGCCCGAGAGGCAACTTTAAACATCACAAAGAAAGGGGGGGAAAGAAAAAGGACTCCGCCTGGCCAATCGGCTTGGCTTCTTTCAATTAAAGAAAAAAAAAAGCAAAGGCTGCACCACCCTTCCCGTCTGCCTTTCACAGGGGATGTCCAGCCGCCACGGAACCACATCCTCCAAGTCCCATGGTCCCCGGGCCGGCTCCAGAGCAGGCAACTGAGTCTAGCACTCCAAGAGGCGCGGCCCACCAACTCCGGGCCGTCACGTCCCCTCCCTCCCTCTCCCTTCCTTCTTTCCCTCCCTCCCGATCCAGGCCCGGGGGCTCCGGATTCTCCCGGCGCCCACCCCTCCCGCTCGCCCGCCCGCGCGCGCGCGCCCGCCTCCTCCGCCCGCCGCCCCTGGCCTTCCAGGCACCGAGCATTTCAGTACTTCCACCCACCCCGACAAGGGAGCCTTTTGAAAACTTTTGTGTGTCGATCTAGGGCTTTGTCCACATCCTGGGCAGGGCTGGGACACCCGGGTGGGAGCCTGCGGGTGTCCGGAATCTCACAATGCCCGGGGAAAGCCACCCCTGAAATCGCACCCCCACCCCCTCTGACCCGCTTTCGCCAACGCTACGAGACAGCGCTACGGCTCCCGGCCCCCCGAGCCCCGATCGCCCCTGGGTGCGGGAGAGCGCTGGGAGGAAACCTCCCGCACCCCGCGCCTTTCCCGGGTGTCACGAGGGACACGGTGCGCGCGGGCAGACGGAGGCAATTGAGAAACGCCGCGGCTACAAGAACCCCAGCTAAAGCTAGGATGGAGAGGGGGCTTTTTTTTTTCGTCCACACCCCGAGGATCGGGGCGGGACGAGACGATCCACGGTTGCATCAGGTAGGATCCGAGCCTCCCGGCTCCCCGACCTGCCCTCCGCCTCGAACTCGCGCCCAAATTCACGCACACACACGCGCACACACACACACACACAGCTCCAAGAGCCTCGGTCCAGAACCCCCGCCCGGATCCCCCAGATCTCCACCCGCCACCGCCCCCCAAAACAGAGACCAGCCAGCGCCCCCCGGAGCAGCGCGCCAAGGAAGCGAGGCCCCTGCACTCACAGACGGTCTCCCCACCGCCACGGCCATCGCGGCTGCGGCTCTGGCTGCGCCCCGGTGCTCTCCGGCGACACTGGCTGCTGCTAGCGCTCGGGCTCCGGCTCGCCTCCCCCGCGCCTTCCCCGCGGCTGCGCTCTGCTTGCGCCCGCGCCCGGTTCCCGCTCGCGGCCAGCGGCATCTGCTTCCCCCACGCCGCCGCCCCTCCCGATTTATTCCAGCAACATGGCCACCGGCCTGGACCGAACCATTTGCTTCCGCGAGGAAGGGGTGTAAGCCGGCTCCGAGACCCTGGCCGATTGAGAAAATCCAGTGGGGGGGTCTCCGAACCTGGGTCAGCTAGGCCTGATCACCTTTTCTAAATTGATCACCTCTGTTCTAAGATCACCTCTCCCATGCTTCTTGCATGCCCCTAAGCCTGTACCCTGCTGTCACCCCCTGCGCTACCAAGTGCTGGAGTCCAAGTAAAAGCCTGGGCGCGGAGGTCTCAGCCCCGAGTCCCGCCACGCGCGCTCGGAGCCGTGGGCAGCTGGGTCGGCTGCGGGGCGGGGGAAGGGAGGCCGGGGGAAGACATGTGGCCGCTGTGTCTTGTCGCGGAAAGTCAGCCCTGGCTGTGCATGCCCCACCCGGAGGAACCGGCTTGGAAACGGATGCGGACTCTGGGAACGGCGGTGGGCGACTGGGGAGGGGTTGGGTGGGTCCCCACCAGGAAAGAGCTGCCCGCTGGCGGCGTTTCTGGGGCGTCGGAACCGGGTGTCCCGCCCCCCCCCCCGGGTGTACTGGAGAGGTCACGCGTGGGGGATCGGCCAATGTCGGTCTCGCTGGAGACAGACCCGAAGACCCGGAGGCGGGAGCTGCGACGGCGGGTGGCGGGAGTGGGTGTGACTCCGGTGGCGTGGGACCCAGACACCCCAGCGCCGCGGGGGAGGATTTCCTAGCAGATGTTGGGGCGCTGGTGCGTGTCTGGGTGGCGGACGGAAGGTCTCGGTTCCTGGGGCGTGCAGGGTTGTGCGTCGCCTGGACACCATTTGGACAGTTTTATGTATCAGGTTCTGTGGATCTCCTCGGGCAGGAGAGGGGGACCCACGACTGAAGATGCTACCTGACAACGGGGGGAGGGGGAGTAGGATGGGATCCAGCTGTCTGAAAATCTGGGAAAGTGGAGGGGCACTGACAAGCTGGGACCGGCCCAGGGATTGCGCCCTGAGAAAACCAGGCCCAGGGGATTAGTGTTTGGACTGGGAGGACTCAGTCTGATCTGAGACTTTCAAACCCCAGGTTTCCAGGAGTCTTGAGTTTACCCCTTCCTCCGTCCCTGCCTCCTGCAGGCCGCAAGAGCCGCACACACCTGAAGCCTTTGGCTAAAGGTGAGTAGTCAGAGGCCGCTGGTTCTCGGCTGATGTGAAGTAGACACTAGGTTACTCTGGTTGGTGGGCGCCGAGGCCTCCTACACTGAATTCTGCTGTGAGGACAACCCCAGACGAGACTGGGGGAGAGAAAGAAAGATGAGGTGCACTGACATAGACCCTAATATGGCCCATTTAGACCTGCACAACACTAATCTAATCAATTTGGATCAATTTCTGTACTATAGACACCAAGTCTTTTAAAATTAGGGACTGCCATTTTATGCCACACATACAATAGTTGCTCAGTAAGTGTTGGATGAAGTTTACACGGGGATGGGTACTATGTAAAGAGAGGCGGAAGACAAATACTTTCATCAGCATCTCTGCTAGATGGGTATTTCGTTCTTTCTCCAAGTAGGGAATCACTTCCCAGATGAGAATGTTCTGGATGCCATGGAGGTCACAGGTAAGCCAGATGGAAAGAGGGCTCCACACACTGCCAACTAAGTGTAAGGGCAACCACACGGGGCTGCCCTCTGCTAGGCTGCAGAATTTGTTAGTGAGTGTCTGTGTTTTAAAGCATACTAATTATAAGAACATGAACTCCGGCCTTGGTGAGGAGGTCAGTTTATTCTAATCACAAAGCCATACACATATTCCAACATCTCATTTGTTTGAAGAAACCCATTAGGATGCACTCACTGAACTTTCACCCAACCTTGAATCTTATCACTGACTAGGAGAAATGCCTTAAATCCCTCACCCCCACCCCCCCTTTTTTTTCCTGAGGAGGCCGGAGATAGAAAGCATAAACATTTAATTAAAATACAGTGTAATTAGTATTGGCCAAAGGTGGCTATTTCAGTATGTCAGCTCTCATTATGAAGTTGTTTAACATCATTCTAGGAGCCTGGGCAAGGTGGCATATGCCTTTAATCCCAGCACAGGGCTCAGGAGGATCTCAAGTTATGTGCTGGAATTTTAGGCATACATCACCCCAGCTAGTAAAAGTTAATATATATGACCTCGGATTTGTCAATGAATATGACATCAAAAGCACAATGAGAACAGAAAAAAAAAAACGGGTCATCTAGCCGCAATATTTGAAACTATTTGCTTCCTTCAGTAGACACTGTCAAGAAAGTAAAATAAGGAAAACAGCCCGGCACCAGTGGCTCACACCTGTCAGCCTAGCTCCTCAGGAAGCTGAGATCTGAGGGTTGCTGTTCAAAGCCAGCCCAGACAGGAAACTCTTGAGACTCTTATCTCCAATTAACCACCAGACAACTGGAAGTGGTGCTCTGGCTCTTAGTGGTAGAGCATTAGCCTTAAGCTGAAGAGCTCAAGGGCAGCACCCAGGCCCAGAGTTCAAACCCTACAACCAACAAATAAAGAAAAAAAAAGGCAGTAAAATGATAACCAACCTGGTAGGAGGAAATATTTCTCAATCATATTTGATAAAGGACTTGTACTTGAAATATAGAAAGAATTCTTACAAATTCAATAATGACAAGATACTCCAATTAAAAGTCAAAAGGTTTGAAGAAACATTTCTTGAAGCTACTGCAATTGACCATAAATATGTAAAAAGGCACTTCACAATGTTGGATGGAAATGCAACCAAACCACAATGAGGTAACACTACATTTATGAGAATGGCCATAATTTTAAAAGTCAGATAATAACCAGTGCTGGTGATATAAAGAAATCAGAGCCTCCTACCTAAGAATGTACAACAGTACAGCCACTTTGGGAAATGAAAACAGTTCACATAAAACCTTACTAATAATACTTAGAACACTCATAATTAGCCCATGTGTGGAAATGTCTACCAATTGACAAATAAAATACACGTACAACTTATTCATTTATTAAAGAGTTAAGTACTGATACCTGATGCATGAATGGGCCTTTTAAACATGTTTTGTGAAAAGAAACATCATAAGAGACCATTAACACTATAATATCACTTTTGTGACCAGTATTTACTAGAGACAGAAAGTAGATTGATACTCAGAATTGAGGAGGAAGAGTTGTAACTTGTTTCTTTTGTGGTATTTTTGATACTAGGTTTGAACTCAGGGCCTTACACTTGCTAGGCAAGCAATCTACCACTTGAAACACTCCCTCTTTTTATTAATAGAGTCATTAAAAGACCAGAGTTTTTTATGTAATATGATTCACTGTTTTGCCTTATATGAATGTGGTGTCTATATAAGGAGTTGATGCCAAATCTATGGTCTTCTAGTTTCATATTCTTTAGTTTTTGTTGTTTGTGCTTTGTTTCTGTTTGTTGGCTGGCTGTTTTGAGAGAAGTTCTTGATATGTAGCACAGGCTAGCCCAGAACTCAGTCCTCCTGTCATCAGCTTCCCGCATAGATTACAGAAATGTGCCATCGTGCCTCTCTATGGTTTTGATTTCTTTTTTTTTTAATTTTATTTTATTTGTGAACATACTGTACAGAGGGGTTACAATTACATGGGCAAGATAATGCATACATTTCTTACCAAGCATTGCAGCCTCCTCCTTTGTTTACCCTTCACATCCCTTCCCAGCCTCCCCCCTTCTCCTCCCCCCCCCCCCACCGACGTTGTAAAGCTTGTTTTGGACATGACAACTTGTACTTCTCATTGTTGCAACAGGTCCACCTGTATCCTTAAACGACTTTTTTTTCCCCATCTCCTCCACAAGTTATACTGACATCAAAACAAAGAAATAATCTTATAAATGCGTTAGAAACACATGCATGAAAGAAAAAAACACATTAAAATACCTATCTAAGGATTCACTTTCCTAACATCACATTATCTGACTTTTTCCGCTTGACTCATACATATACTAGATATTATGGTTTTGATTTCTGAATGTAGGTCTACCATTAACTTTTATTTATTTGAGTTTTTGTGTTGTTGTTATTGTTCTTTGGGTTTTCTTGTTTTGTTTTGTTGCTGGGCCTGGAACTTGAACTCTGAGCTTGGGAACTGTCCCTGAGCTTTTGTACTCAAGGCTAGTGCTCTACCACTTTGAGCCCCTTCTGGATGGTGGTTAAATAGAGATAAGGGTATCATGGACTTTCCTGCCTGGTCTGGCTTCCAACTGTGATTCTCAGATTTCAGCCTCCAGAATAGCTAGGATTACAGACGTTAGCCACCAGTGCCCAGATGGGTGTGTGTGTGTGTGTGTGTGTGTGTGCAAATCCTAGGACTCAGGGCAGTGCCCAGATGGGTGTGTGTGTGTGTGTGTGTGTGTGCAAATCCTAGGACTCAGGGCAGTGCCCAGATGGGTGTGTGTGTGTGTGTGTGTGTGCAAATCCTAGGACTCAGGGCAGTGCCCAGATGGGTGTGTGTGTGTGTGTGTGTGTGTGTGTGTGCAAATCCTAGGACTCAGGGCTTAGGTGTTGTCCTTAAGCTTTTTTGCTCAAGGCTAGTACTCTACCACTTAATCCATAGCTCTAGTTCTGGATTTTTTGATGCTTAATTGGAGATAAGAGTGACTTTCTTCCAGTCTGGTGCCAAACCAAGATCCTCTGATCTCAGCTACCTGAGTAACTAATATTATAGGCATGAACCATCAGCATCTGGCTTTAGTTGTTGCATATTGTGCGAGGTAAAGATTGAGGTTCATTTTTGGGCCTTTTTCAATTTTCCAACATCACTATGGACTGAATTCTCTTTTTTTGGGGGGGGGGGTCCAGTTGTGGGGCCTGAACTCTGGGCCTGAGCGCTGTCCCTCAGCTCTTCAGCTCAAGGCTAGCGCTCTACCACTTGAGCCACAGCGCCACTTCCAGCTTTTTTCTTTTTG